TGTGGGCAGCCCTGCCGATGGCCCTCGGAGCCCCCGGCAGCCCCGCTCCCCAGCCGGAGCATCGCGGCTTTGCCCGTCCTCGGCGCTGGGCACGGCTTGTGCTGCAGCACCAAGATGATTATTCCTGTTTACTTCCCGCAAACGCACGAAGTACACTTACGCTGGGCAAAAAGTGGCTTCGCTCTTACTTACGCCCTTATTTAAACAGTTTGTTTAAATTGCTTTTTAATTGTTTTCTAATTAACGTGAAGGATCAGGGCTCACGAGCAGCGCTGCCGGGAGCTCCGAGCCCTCAAGTGGCTGGCTGGCGAGGAGAAACGCGGTTGCCCCGTTCATCCCGGGTCAGCCCCTTCCCCCTGGGGCAGGTCCTGCCCTCAGCGGACGCCACGCCGGCTGAGGCTTTAAGTGAACGTCCGCAGCGCTGCACGGCGCGGCGGGCAGCCGAGGGGGGTCCCCCATTTACGGCGTGGCGGGGGGACCCCGGCCCTGCCGCCGAGAGAGGGAAGCCCGACACCTTTTCTTATTCCATCCTGCTTAGCATCCATTACGTCATTACTGCTCACATCTGTCGGTTTTATTTTTATCCCTTTTTTTTTCCTTGACACTTGTATTGCTTCCGAGGGAAAAATGTTTTGAAAAGTAAATTCGAAATTTGCACACACAATTATTTATGCATGCAAAAACTTGAATGTGAGTGTACAATTAAGTTTTGCGATATAAAGAAAAGAGCACGAGCCCGGGAAGAGTTCTGGGGTTTCAATCGAGGCTGTGCATTAACTTGCAGTGTTATTCTGCAAACAGCCTGACCCCTCTCTCTTTCCTGCTTTGTAAAACGACGATGGTATTCCCACGTCGGGAGAATGAGTTTCTCGTGAGTCCTTCTGAACCGAAGAAACAAAACATTGCGTAGCCGCTGTGCTCGGCCAATATTTGTGGTTAAATTTTAGATTTTGCGAATGGAGTGACTGAAGGCAGAAGGTTACCCCAAGACTCGTTCAAAAATTAGGGGCCTGAGCCTGGCGAGGTTTAGGGACATCCTTGACTCTGCGGGTGGCGCGTCTGATGCTCTCGACCCCCGGAGAAGTACCCAGGGGTGGCAGGGCGCTGCGGCGTGCCGGGCAGGAGAGGGGCGCTGCCCCTCGCAGAGTTGCATGCACAAGGATGAGTGCTATGCCGGGTTATTTTTTTCAGGGAGAAGCAACTTTCCACACCCACTGTGGGGGAAAAAAAAAAATGTAAAAATTTTTTTTTTATACTCCAGTGTTTAGCAGTGAGGTGATTAAGACAGCAAGTTTCTGCATAAAAATAGATTTAAAAAGCAAAATGATAAAAGAAGCATTGCTGTGCTGTTCTTGCGTATGCTATGGGCAAAAGACTTTTATGCTGAGAGGGGGCTTTCCGTTGAATTGCGCAGCACGAAATTCCAGGAACCTCCTCTCAGCCGCCCGTTCAGGATTAGCCACCCAGCAAACCGCAGTCAATTACTAATGAAATCAAAATTTGAAACAGCTTTAAAAACGCTCTGGAACACATCGCTTCCAGCAGAATCGATAGGGGAAACCAATAAGGGGAGCAATATTTCTTATAGCTGGCTTAAACCTTGGAAGGGAAATATGGGCCGGTAGGTTTTGAAAAATGCCGTTTAAACTTGTAAACTTGTGTTTCTTTCCCGATTTGTTAACAGAACTATGGAGATGGGACCCACTATGATCATATGGCGAGCAGAGACCTTGGGTCGCATGACAATCTCTCTCCTCCCTTTGTCAATTCCAGAATACAAAGTAAGAAATCGAATTTCCTAACTTGACCGTGTTGTTGACAGTGGAATAAGTGAACCAGAAATAAAATTCTGAGGGCTTAAGTCCCTCGTCCTCATTTTTGGGGCTGCTTGTACTCGGCATAAGGGTGGGAACGTGGATTTTTATTTTGATTTTTATTTAAGCTATCACGCAGTTTCAAAGACGTATTATTGACCAGGCTGTGTTTCCTTGCTGGGCGAGGGCTATGGCTTTCGATGCCGTAACGGCGGTGTTTGCTGGAAGGGGTAAATGGTTGTTGCCTAAGGCTTGGCCTTTCCTTTTCAAAGAAGTGGCCAGTTGGCAGGGAAAAGGAGGACGTGCTCTGAACAGGGCTCTCAAAGTAGAATCGGATTTCTGAAAATGGGACAAATGCATGTTCACAAAGGGGAGCAGAGAGGTAACCGGTGAGGGACGCCGAAGCCATGGTTTGTTTTGGAGCGGGATGGATCGCTGCCTGCTGGGACCTGCGAGCTGCACGCTCCTGGATTTCAGGCGAGGGGAGCTCCAGCCTGTTCCGCTTCAGAGGAGCGAGATTTCGCCCAGGGCGCTTGGCAAGGACCCTCCTCCCACCCCACACCCCATGATAGAAAGTTTTGACACCCCTGAATAATCATTTAGCTTAGCAGCAAACACCATAGCAAGTATGAAGAGAGGCTATAATTATTTGTAAGTGAATGATAGCTACTTTCTTAATTACGGTTGATAAATGAGTTTGGTTAAAGTAAATATATGATGTAAAAATATTAGTAATGCGTACGTTTGGCCAAGATCACACCCTTCTTCTGCAGTTGTCAATGAACTAACCAAATGCTTTGCTTTAAAGGATTGAACACGAGCCAAAAAAAACATGGAGCTGTAACTGCCATATATCATTCCTCAGCTCTAATATATGTCCCTAAAATATGCCTTGTCTTTTAATATTGGGAAATACTTGTGAGTTGTTTAACATATGGGACAATGTTGGAGCTTGTAGTCATTTGTATATATTCACGTACAAAACATGGTTACAACAGTTTTTAAAGGGTCTAATATAAGCCAAAAAAAGCATGGAAATTTCAACACTCCCTTCGTAACTCACGCCATGGGGCTTAGGTAGTGCGCAGAGACGCTTCGCAAACAGCCACACGCTTCTGTGGAACCCACTGGGCTGCACGGGGCTTTCAAGTTTAACCTTTAATTTGAGGCTTTAGAACTTAGGAGTCTCCCTCCCTCTCATCTTGCCTGCCCTTGGGTTACAGAAAAAAAAAAAAAAAATCTCATTCCTGCCTCTGTTTTTGCCAACCTTAGTGAAAGCACTGGTTTCGCTTGGTGTAAGAAATAGTTGTTTTATAAAAACACGTTTGGAGGCGCCCTGTTAAGGGATTAAGCCGTGCAATACGGTGATTAGGAACGCTGATGCCTCCTGCTCGCCACCATCGGAGGGGTTTGCGCAACCCCTGCTAACCCAGTTGTGGCTCTGGCCCTGTCTGCCCCGGACGAGGGTCCTGAAGGGCCCTGGCAGTATTTTTTTGTTTTTTATGAGATTTGGTGATTTCAACTGGAAACAAGACTGTGATGGTCCTGCGCATTAACGTGTGGGCAAGCGTGGGGCTTTTGACAAGTGTGCTATGGGGCAAGGATGCGTGCACGCTGCCGGGGCCGTCGGCTGCCTCCCGCAACCCATGGCGTTTTGCAACCGTGCTTTGGTATAATTCTCTGATAATTACAGTGGACTCTTCTTAATTTGCCCCCTTGGGGCAGCCCTTTACCCCTCGCGTTTGCTCTGCTCCTGGGCGCGGGGCATCAGTGCTGGGGGAGGAGGGATGGCTGCGGGGGTGCCTGCACGTTCCCCTCCCGCTCAAACGCCCCCGAGGGCCCGGGCTGGGAGGTCGGTCTGTGAGCCGCCTGGGAATGGAAACCCGTGACCGGCACCGGGGCGGGCGCTGTGGTCACTGCCGAGGCCCACGGGCGTGAAGCGTTGCCCTAACAGTTGGTCCACGTTGGTCACGCCTGTATTTGTGACTGTAGGAGAAACCGAAATATTGCGGGGATGGACCATGCACAGCGCTGTTTGCTTGGATGGAGGCTGCCCGGGCTGCCAGCTCCTGAATCCTGGTATTCCAGATGGATTCCATCACCTCCTTTTTCCTGGCAGGTCTTCCAAGGCCCCCAGGGAAAGGTCCCCGTGAGCGGTGGAGTTATGCAGCTGGCACCCACAGAGCCGCACTGTAGTTTTCTTCCCGTGCTCCTCTTTCTCTTGGCAACCAATAAAGAGCCTGACAATCACCCAGCTTGAACTGGTTTTATGCTGGTGTATACCGTTAACCTGAATGGAGTTGCTCCTGATTTGAGGTGGTTTTCCAGGCAAGAAAGGCTTTGTTGTTGCTGGGGATGGGTACTACTGACCCCGTACCTGTGAACCACAAACGTCTGTAGACAGGGAGTGCTTAAATGAGGGCTCATATTACATTTTATTTTTCAGATACTTGTTTTAAAATACATTTGTACGTGGCCAGTGTCTATCAGGGAGCTTGTGTGTTGGGCTTTGGAGCCGGCCCCATGGGGAGGAGCAGGGAGAAGCGGCAGAGCTGCGTGCATTGCTCAGCTCCTCAAGCTGCCGCCCGCGGGTATTCCAGCCCGGCACGCTCTGTCCGTGCCCGGAGCCCTGCTGCCCCGTAGGTACCTTGTGTTCTCCTTAGGGTGTCTGAGGAGCCGTTCTCTGGCCCGGCAGTGAAATGCGCATGGGCGGATGGCTGTGGTGGGTATGGCACATCGGGTGTCGCTTCCCTCTAGGTTGGACATTGGGAACAATTCCTTCCCCTTGGGGCTGTCAGGGGCTGGAAGGGGCTGCCCAGGGAAGGGGTCGAGTCCCCAGCCCTGGGGGGATTTAACAGCCGGGCAGAGGCGGTGCTGAGGGCCAGGGTTTGGGGGTGGGATGGCAGGGGTAGGGGAACGGCTGGGCTGGGGGAGCTTAAAGGGCTTTGCCAACCTCAACAATTCCAGGATTCTGTGATTCCCTCTCCTCTCCCATTTCCACTTGTGCTGTTGGGGAAGGTTTCTTATCCTGCTACCTGGGATATCTCCCCAGTACGTTAAATCATTTACAAGTACAGTAACTTGCTGCTAAACTCCCTGTAGCTTAATGGAGCATTTCACTGCAAGGATTAGATCGAGGTTTCGGGCGCTGCTGAAGAAAGCTGCTGGCTTATGTGGTGACCTTTGAATCTCATCTGGGTTGGTGGTTGATATTTTGATTTGGTTACTGTGGTCATATTGTGACAGCTGCTGGTTCATTATAATTCCGTTCCTCTCCTCGGTTTGCCTACCAGGAATATTTAGGTTTGTGTTGCTTCAAAGTGCTCGAACCACCCCGAATTTAACCCGGCACGCCGCAGAGGGCAAAGTGTTGTGAACGCTTTCGGCCGCCATCCCGCCGGACAGGCAGGGAGGGCATGGTAGGGAGAAACTCGCTGTGGGAGAAAACTTGCCCTGAGGTTTCCAAAGCTGATTTAACCCAGTTTGTTGAATGTGGTGAAAATGAGAATAGAAGAGATCAAAAGCACTTTTCTTAGGTCATTGCATGGACAGTTTGGGTACTCCTCCCCCTCTGCGTATAATATTTCTGGTCTTCACAGTAGTGATCTTGTATATCTTAAGGAAAGAGTTCCTACGCTACTAACTAGAAGGCAGTATTTAATGTCTGATATTGCTCTGAGACTCTCCAAAGGTCACCGAGTGGAGATCTCTTAAGAGTTGTAGGAGTTGGTCAGTGACCCAGTGTGTGAAGGTGGAATCTTTGCTTGTGGGTGGTTTTTTTTTTTTCCTCTTTGTATTGCTAGATGCAAAACGAAGAGCAGATAGAGTGCCTTGCCCCGACTTCCCTCCTGGCTTGCCTCCTTCAGATCAGTGCTGCGCTCCTTCGGGTTGCGCCCTTACGCCATGGCTTGCCCGACCCGCGAGGGAGGGTGGGTGCGAACGTTGGCCAGAGACCGGCGCTTGTATTGCAAAATAAATATTTTTCCCCTCTGCTTTCTTCCCTTTTCCTTTTAAAAATCTCCAAGTCATGATATTCCTCTTAGCATGGCTGTTTCGGAGGAGGTGGTGTTTTCTCAGAGCTGGGGTGACCGAGCGGTGCCGGCGCAGCACCGGGGAGCTGGGGTGGCGTGGGCCACCCGCCGTGCTGGGGTGCAGGGCTCCTGCCTGGGGCTGGGCTGCCGAGTTGTTTGGGGTCTTTGTGCTCCACTGTGCCTTCCCAGTTATCTGCCTGAAGAACCCACGCTACATGTTTTGCAGGGATGTTGTGAGATGTGATGAATTACTGTCTGGAAAACATCCCGAGTTCCTCGGATACTCGGTATACATGCCAATTTTTAATATTATTTTTAATGCTATGATAGCACTTGTCTCCGCACAAATATTGCCGTGGCGTTTGCTTTTAATCCGTACAGCTTTGATTCTGTTACTGTTATTATAAGTAGAACTGGAATTTTTGCAGATTAGTGAAGTTTACCCAACACAGCATTATAAGGCCTTGCTTTCAATTGCTAAACTATAAACATTTGGGATGAAATTTTCCATGCTGTGTATCTGACTCAGCCTGATTATTATTTTTTTAACCTTCTGCAGAAATGATTTCAACATTTCCTAAAATGAGATTACATTTCATCCTGGCAGATTTTTGATTTTCTCAGTTAGTGTCTGGCACATCACGAACATTAATTCTTTTTCACACCACCTCTGTTATGTCAGGTGGCTTTAGTTCCCGTTTTGCAGCTGGAGAAGTGAAGGTATGTGAGGAACCAGGAGGGAAACGTCAAAAATTGCCCAGTAATTTCCAGTTGTAAATTTGAAACGCGAGAAGGGGTTGATGGTCTCTCAGCTCTTGCGTTGGGTGGCACCCAAAGATGCCACCGCTTGGGGAAATTGTGGTGGCGATGCTTCTTACGGGTCGTCCATGTTAGGGGAGCACCCAGGTATCCCCCAGCCAGGTGGAAAATGGTAGG